GAGTTAAATTGACAGACGAAAAGCAGAGAACATACGTTACATAAACACATTATTCTTCTGCTATTCTTTAATATCAAAAGAGTACTAAGTTTTATAATCTATATTACACTAGCAGTCCAATGAAATTTTTTAACATTCCAAGCATAAATAGAACATGCAATGAGAAAGTCACGTAAAAAAATGCTGTCCACTGGCCGATTCTCAATTATCTCCACTACATCAATCACAGTACGCAAAAGACCCGAAAAGAGATAAAGTATTTAGGAGATTTGTTCTTCACATTTCTCTAACCGTAATCGAATACACAATATGACAGACTTCCCTGGTAGAGCGAAGTGATCTGAAGCATACCAGCAAAAGATTCGAAAGCAGAAGTTATGGAAGTGAAAGAGAGCAACGACAATCGCAGACACCAAATACAGGATTGTAAAGCGCGAGCCTAGATTGACTGTCAAAAGAAACCCAACACTCTCAGGTCTACGGAAATGTACTGTAACTGTAGGCACAAACTGACCACAGTTCATGTGACTGCAGCCAACCATCTGTTCGGACTGTAATAGAATATCATGACAATACTTCTCATCAGTTCACGTCCTCGAGTATCATAAAAGCTGTTTTTCCATCATCAATCACATTTCTGCTCGTTCGACAACTCCAATATGTACATCCAGACGGACCAGGTAGTTCTACAGAGAGAAGAAGTAAAAATAAGGGTTCAGGAAGGGGGAGGGGCGACACTTGTGCTCAACATCAATCCAGGGTGCATCCATTTATGAAGGAAAAAAGGTCTCATATCAGTGACGACTTGAACAACAATGCACACATGTGATTAGGTTGGCAAAAAGCATGCCTTAAACGGGAACGGTAGTAAAGTGTCTACGAATTACATATACAGTATCGTGTAGTGTTTGCTAGAAATATCATAAAATAAACATACAATGGATCGAAACTCACGCTTGCAATTATAAGCAGGATATCGAACCGTTGATTCAGAGTCACACTGTCCTATAAGAGATGAAATCATCATTCATGCTTTGCGAAGAGGGAGGAGAATGGAGCAGAGAGAAGGAGAATCGCTGAATCGACGTTTCGGGAGAATGCGCTCAAAAGGAGTGGAGAGATATCGACTGACTGCTAATTTCCAACTTTTACTTATCCGATTCTCCTAATCTCTGGTTCTTCTGTTCTCCGATGGCATCGATTACACGGTTCTATTCTCGCAAAACTCCACACCCAAACTTGTACTTTCTCTGCTGTGTATTCCCGTAATCTCACCTCGCGACCTAATGACTCAACAGACGGGTATAAGTGCAGAGCTGATCATAATATTAATTTTTAATCTAAACGAAAACTATGACAAGGAACAAGTACAGTTTCAACCACATCTACAGCCGTGTTCGTTGCGGATGAAGTCGTCGAATGAAATGGGTTTGGCGCTGCGCCAAACTCCTTGCTCACAATTTGTTCAAATGCGAAACCAGCGACCGCACATGGCCGGTACACTCCTTATCGCTGAGATGGTTTAGGAGTGGTATTCGAACATGGCAGAGAATGGGTTACTCGTGGGATGTTCCTTTTTGATACAACTGTCATCTTGTTCAGGATTTGACAAAGATAAGACCACGAGTTCCTCAAAATGAAAATATCTACTAGAAGCGCAAGCATCGCCAGTTTAGTTGAAGCATGCCGCCACGCCTACTTCTCTCAGGGACTTCGAGTGTAACAGAGTTAAATATACAAAGAATCACACACACCTGTTAAATATCAGTGGGAGCAAAAAAGACACCCCGTTACACTGTTCCTGTATATGTTTACTGCCTTCTTTTCTTATATACTCTCATGCTGTCTCGTTAATTCCATATTTTTTTGTATTCTAGCACTGTATTGTGTGAGGTATGTGTTATTGTTTTGTTTTTTGTGTTGTGGTTTCTATCTCTCTTCTATCTTGTGGTGTGTGTCAGTAAACTGATTATGTTCGGATGTGTCTTGCTGTTATTGCTATCTGCCTGAGCTATCATCCACTTCTCGCCGGATAGACCAGACCGCAGATACCCCATATTTGTAATCTTTGTATCTAGTAAGTAGACCCAGCAGCTAGGGCGAATCGGACTAGAGAAGAGTACTACAAACAAATATTACAACCAACTCACTATTGATTCCACTCCTTCTAAATCTAACATTTCGTTCACCGTGAACACTTGGGAGTGTATAAGCTCTTTATCCGTAGGCGTGTCTTAAGTAATCAGACGAGAAAAGACTACACGGGTGGGAGGTTCGGGGCAAAATAAGTCATTTCGACCGAGTCACATATCAGCAAAGTTTTCGCAGCCCAGACAGAGGATGTGGATACGTATACCAGGGCGTAAGATACCCAAGATGTTCCTTGATAAGCAGGAGCTGGATCACCCATCAGCTTCATGTACACCAAAATATGAAGTCATCTCCAGTCGCAACCTGACTGCGCCGAAGACGAAATTCATGTCACCTCCAACCAGCTGCGAAACTTCTGGAATGGAGTCACCCATGGATAGCTACCTGGAGACCAGTGCTCTCGATTTGAAAGACCTCCAACATTGAGCAAGCTCCGACAACGTCGCTACGGTTCCCCTATAACAATTATCTTCACCACAGTCGCCAAGGTGCCAGGTTGATGGTGGGGACCGGACGTACCTGGAATGGAGAGACCGATATTTTCTTCGTGGGCCCCGAAGGTGAGCGCTGGCGGTTACATCGAGCAACTCGAGAAGAATATCCTCTCCACATGTCGTCGCCCGTACCTTCTTGGAAACTTTGTACTGCTACAGGATTGGGTGACACCACATGGAATCAAAGGGCGTTGGGAAAACTCTTGCCTACTTGGAATGGAAGGGCGTTGAGTACCTGAAGAAGGTGGAATATCTAAGCAGGTCACCTGACCTAAACCCCTCAATTACCTGGTTCGGGCGGAGTTCAATAGGGTCTACAAAGGCGGAGAAATCAACGATCTCGTTGAAGGCACCGACTCACAATCGCGTGGCAGAATCTCTCGATGGCGCTCCTCCAGAAGGCTGTGGCGGAGTATCGTGATAGTATTTAATATGCTCTTTAATATGGTGGTAGAAATGTCCGATAAGAATTTGATAAAGTGTAACTTATAGCGCCTCGAAGGTCAAGGAAAAAAAGGCTTTTTCTGGCCCCCTGCATATCACTCCGTTCGTATCAGTCGTTTTTCATCAACAGCTGTCACTTCCTCTTCCAGACAACTGGAGCACGGGTTAAGCACCACGAAATACTCATCCCGCTTGGCAAGATCCTTCTTCCGCAGCGAGCAACACTATGTGTGGGGTTTTAATGATGGACTATATGTGTGGGTTCTAGTGATGGACTATTTTTCAAAGACAGGGCAGAAATTTAAAATTGCAAATTGGTCAAGACCATAAGCTCAAATTATGTCGCAAAAGAATGTTGTCAATCGTTTTGAATCTAGCGCCTTGAAAAACGAGCAGAAAACAGAATTTCTAAACTCAGAAATCATACATACTTCTCGACAATCTTGCCGTCAAATGACAGTTTTTGTAACCAAACTGACCCTGTTTCATTTTGAGTTTCTCTGTAAGCTCATCCACATTACGCAATAGTTCGTCCATTTTGTCAACCTGAAAATTTAGTAAACGGTAACTATTGGTCTATGTGGAACAAGGGAAAAACAAAAGCAAAATACTTACAATATCTATGCTATTCTCTAATATTTGCGACTGGGTTGAACGATCGTAACCCTCAGTTCCAGCCAAACATTTTCGGAATTCACCAGATAGGGGTGGTGCGTTCCACTTCCGGAAGGCTATTATGAAATCGCTCATGCGTCGAATATGCTCATCCTCGAGGCTACTTGAGTTTGTCTCCTAGAACAAGCTATTAGGTGGCAGAAAAGTTCTTCGACAAAATTCCCATCATAGGAAAGACTTGTACACATAAAGTACTTGTATGAACAAAGTGATATTTCACAGTTCACTCTTTGCGATCCAGTGGTTTGGAACGCGTGATCGGATCGCGAAGTGTGAACGCGCTCTTAGCAAGAACGCTCTCTTCTAGAACACTCAGTCGAATAGGAAATGAAACCACCGGCTTTATTGGTAAGCGAAGGCAAGACTGTCAAAACCACTTTCTCTGCAAACAACTCCTGCCACTGGCTCCGAAAACTTCTAAGACTACCAAAAATGTACCCTCTACATGATAATGCACGTTCTTCTTACGCTTCGAACACTCTTCAGAAAGTCGTGGGCTTGGCTGGCCCCCGACTGCTCTCTGCCCAGTTTTGTATTCGAGACCTCACTCCTGTTTTTCATTTATCCCAGCCGCGCCTGCATTAGTTGTGAGGAACAGTGTTAAATAAAAAAAGGATCCTGTTTGTGTAATTACGGAATGTTTGGAAATTAACGGAAACGGAAATTCTTCGGCTGGGTGATGTTCAGTGCTGGAAGGTGCTCAGAAGCCAGGGGAATTTTTAGCTTGACACTTGTTTTCTTCCACGTAGGTTTTGGAAGAAAATGCAAATAAAAAGGCAAAAAACGACCTCAACGAACAATG